TGCGATAGTAACTTCTAGTTTATAGTTGAGTCGATGCACGAAGCCGGCGAACGGCTAAGCTAGTAGAAAGTATATTAAAACACGGCTAAGGACGGCTAAGCACTTTTTATATCAAAATACTCATTAAAATTGCCCTGTACCAAAACTTTTGCATCAATAAATGTTTTGAACATTTCTAAGTCGACCTAAACCGAAAAATGGCCCGAAATTTTCTAAATTTGATTTGGTTTAAAAGGCAGCACTTGCCTTGCGATGGTAACTTCTAGTTTTAATTGACACGATCCACGTCGATCCACGAAGCCGGCGAACGGCTAAGCGTAGTAGAAAGTATATTAAGACACGGCTAAGCATTATTTATTTATAAATGCGCAATAAAATTCCCCTGTGCCAAAACTTTCTGCATCAATATCCGTTTTGAACCTTTCTCTGTCGGTCTATAACAATTTTTATTTCATTTTGCCCGAAATGAGATTCACCTCATGAGATGAGCAGTCACAACAATGTACTTGTGTTTTTAATTTTACCAGTATTACAAGTCGTCCACTGATGGCTTAGTGGTATGTCGTTTAGCCTGTCTCGATAAGCATTTGGGTTCAAATCCAGTTGAACTCATGTTTTGTAGCAGACTCACAATATTTTTTTCCCTTTATTTATTATGACTATTTTTTATTCTTTTTATACCTCTATGTGCAAAATCCGTTTACAAGTATAAGAAAATATTGCCATGTTGAAACTGGCTCGAAAAGATTAAGTTAATCATTCCATATTGTCTAATTTCGCAAGGTATGTTGGCAATGGTAGTGTAAGTATCTTTTGTTAGTATTAGATTGACAAATCTCCACACATTCCTTCTCAATTCTTTCGCTAGTATTTAATTGATCCTGAATGCCTTGTGGATTGTGGTGCAGATCATGACATGGGTTCTTTAAAATTGGTGTATTATTTGAACAACTCTTAAGGGTTAGGGTTTGGGCTGTTTCGAATCAGATGTTGTATTGAATTTCAAGGTCCCTGTAGCGGAAACGTGAACTTACGCCGGTCTAAAAATCGTATTTTTAGAATCCACGGTCCATAAGCTTTCTATCGATGCCGTACTCGTGTGTCAAAAGACAGTCCATGAAGATAAAAAGCAGGTTATTCCAGGTGCATAATCGAAAAAGACGTGAAAGTTAATATTATGCGGTTTCGAACCTTGCGTTCTATTGAATTTCAAGGCCCTTGTTTCAGAGACTTGAATTTGGGCTAGCATGAAAGTTGTATTTCTGGAATCTACGATCCATAAGCTTTCTGTCGATGCCTCATCCGTGCATCACTAGGCCGGATGTGGAGATAAAAAGCAGTTTTTTCCAGCTGTATAATCGAAAAAACCGTGAAAGTTAGTATTATATAAGTGAGGGTTAGGGTTTGGGCTGTTTCGAATCTGATGTTCTATTGAATTTCAAGGTTCCTGTAGCGGGAACGTGAATTTGTCACGGTCTGAAAATTATATTTTTAGAATCTACTGTCCATAAGCTTTCTATCGATACCTTACTCGTGTATCAAAAGACAGTTCATGAAGAAACAAAGCAGGTTGTTCCAAGTGCATAATCGAAAAAGACGTGAAAGTTAATATTATGCGGTTTCGAACCTGATGTTCTATCGAATTTCAAGGCCCTTGTTTCAGAGACTTGAATTTGGGCTAGCATGAAAGTTGTATTTCTGGAATCTACGATCCATAAGCTTTCTGTCGATGCCTCATCCGTGCATCACTAGGCCGGATGTGGAGATAAAAAGCAGTTTTTTCCAGCTGTATAATCGAAAAAACCGTGAAAGTTAGTATTATATAAGTGAGGGTTAGGGTTTGGGCTGTTTCGAATCTGATGTTCTATTGAATTTCAAGGTTCCTGTAGCGGGAACGTGAATTTGTCACGGTCTGAAAATTATATTTTTAGAATCTACTGTCCATAAGCTTTCTATCGATGCCTTACTCGTGTATCAAAAGACAGTTCATGAAGAAACAAAGCAGGTTGTTCCAAGTGCATAATCGAAAAAGACATGAAAGTTAATATTATGCGGTTTCGAACCTAATGTTCTATCGACTTTCAAGGCTCTTGTAGCAGAGACTTGAATTTGGGCCAGTCTGAGAATTGTATTTTTAGAATCTACGTTCCTAAGCCTTCTGATTTGTGCATCATTAGACGATAAAAAACAGGTTTTTACAGCTGCATGTTTAGTCGAACAAAACGTGAAAGTTAATACAATTATATTCGAACCTTTCCCTGCGCAAAATGATTCCGACAACCAGGAATCGAACCTAGCTTCTCACACGTGCAACGCTTTGTCCTTTCCATTAGACCACCTCGCCTACACTTGCTGTAACTCCCTTTGTTGTTCTACTTAACTCTTTCTCGTCTCGGGTGGAATTAATAAACAACGATGCCCGGCATTAAAATGCTTTCGGCACAACCAGGAATCGATCCTGGCTTTACACACTTGCAACACTTCGTCCTTATCACTAGACCATTTCGCCTATACACTTGCTGCAACTTCTTTTTTATTCTACTTAACTCTTTCTCGTCTCGGATGGAATTAATAAACAACGATGCCTTACATTAAAATGCTTTCGGCACAACCAGGAATCGATCCTGGATTTACGAACTTGCAACACTTCGTCCTTACCAATAGACCATCTCGCCTACACTTTGCTGCAACTCCTTTTTTATTCTAATTAACTCTTTCTCCTCTCGGGTGGTATTAATAAACAACGATGCCTGACATTAATTAAAATGCTTTCGGCACAACCAGGAATCGATCCTGGCTTTACGCACTTGCAACACTTCGTCTTTACCACTAGACCATCTCGCCTACACTTGCTTTAACTCCTTTTTTATTCTACTTAACTCTTTCTCGTCTCGGGTGGAATTAAGAAGCAACGATGCCGAGATTAAAATGCTTTCGGCACAACCAGGAATCGATCCTGGATTTACGCACTTGCAACACTTCGTCCTTACCACTAGACCATCTCGCCTACACTTTGTTGCAACTCCTTTTTTATTCTACTTAACTCTTTCTCGTCTCGGGTGGAATTAATAAACAACGATGCCTGACATTAAAATGCTTTCGTCACAACCAGGAATCGATCCTGGCTTTACGCACTTGCAACACTTCGTCCTTACCACTAGACCATCTCGCCTATACACTTGCTGCAACTCCTTTTTTATTCTACTTAACTCTTTCTCGTCTCGGGTGGAATTAATAAACAACGATGCCTGACATTAAAATGCTTTCGTCACAACCAGGAATCGATCCTGGCTTTACACACTTGAAACACTTCGTCCTTACCACTAGACCATCTCGCCTATACACTTGCTGCAACTCCTTTTTTATTCTACTTTTCTCTTTCTCGTCTCGGGTGGAATTAATAAACAACGATGCCTGACATTAAAATGCTTTCGGCACAACCAGGAATCGATCCTGGCTTTACGCACTTGCA